TGGAGATCTGTCTGGAGATTTCTCAAAAAGTTGGGACTGGAAATCCCATTTATTCCAGCTATTCCACTTCTAGGCATATTCCCAGAAGAACTGAAAGCATCATACCACAGTGATATATGTGCACCTATGTTTATAGCAGCACAATTTGTAATCGCCAGATCTTGGAAACAACCCAAGTGCCCATCAACTGAGGAATGGATAAAAAAGTTGTGGTATTTCTATACAATGGAGTATTATTCAGCTATAAAGAAGGATCACATTGAGATATTTATCAATAAATGGGCACAGCTTGAGACCATACTCATAAGTGAAATAAATCAATCTCGCATGTGTGAATACCGAATAGTTTCCCTAATGTAAGTAATGATTCAAATATATAAAAATATGTGGTAATCATGATTCCCCATTAGGTGGCCTTGAAGCCTTATAAAGTTTTCACTCATTAATTAGAAAGGCTTTATTCTGGGCTTCTTGATATGAAAATATTTGAAGCTAGAGTATATGAAGTTTTACCCAAATATTTCAAGGAAAAAGACACTATGGTAACTACTATTAAGTCAGGTTATAAGGTGGTGAAGTACTAGGTTATTGAAACAGTCATGCTGTGACCTCTATTGTTATATTGTTATGTCCTGTTTTATCTCAATCTCCCCCTTATTGTTTCAAAAAAATTATTTAGTCATTTCTTATGTTTGTCTTAATTAAAGAAAAAATTCAAAAAAATTAGGATATATAAATAGTAACTCTTTTCGATTTCCTATTAACTTGTTTTGAAGTCCTGTAGTACTCGCACGATCTTGTTTTGACTGATTAGACTCTGTTCCATTCTATATGATAGTATCAAGTTTGAAGACATAGGCAACTACTTTGAAGACAATAAGATTCACTAAGATACCCATTCTGGTTTGACTATTGTCTTCTTTGGAAGTCCTGTAATATTTACAATGCCTAAGTTTTATTGGTCTTGTTCTCTACTGTTTTGTCCAACTTTATAATATCTAATAAGATAGACAATTCTTTTTAAGGAAACAAGGGACAACGTTGATAACCATTGTTGATAAACTTGTACTCTGTTCTATACCATGTGCTATGTCTATCCTTGGTATTGACTGACAGCTTTGTTTTGCCATATTTGACTGTATTCTCCCCCCCCCCCCAAAGAAAGTAATAAGCACTAAGGAGTAATAAAATCCAAGATGTGTAAATTTTGTTGTAAAAAAGAGAGGGAAAAAAAAAAAAAGAAAAAGAGCTCTAACGGATATAACAGCAAGTGTGTTTGGGGGTGTTAAATAGCTGACTTTATCAATGTTTTTGGAACATTGAACACAGCTGTTTGCAGTCTCCCTGTTTGAATGTCCACCTTGTGTTCTTTGATACTGTGATTTGAGGAACTATTTTCAAGAAAATAGTGTGTAATCTACTAGCAGGTAATTTCTTACTGTTATGGTTTTTTGTTTTGTTTTGTTTTGTTTTGTTTTGTAGTTCTGTATTGCGTGTACCCTTACGCCGCTTTGGTTTGTTTTGTGTTTTTCTCTTTTTCCTCTTAAATTAAAAAAAAAAAAAAAAAAAAGAAAATAATAACCAAATTTTTACTTAGAATTTGAGCTACTTGAGAAACTGAAGTTTCTCTGTTTGGTGTCTCCTTTACTTACCATCTATGTGTTAAGTCAAAGGAGTATCATTAAAATATAATCTAGGGAGAGACTGGTCCACAGAGAAGGGCCTGAAAGTTATCATGGACTGTTGTCACAGTTGTCATGAAAACCAGTAGCTGGTTAAAGCTCTAGTATCACACTGGAGTTAGGAACATGGAAGTGGTGAGTTCTGCTTTTTTTCTGTATCATCGCTGTATTCAGTCTTGCTGATGGTGTCAAGCCAAGCCCATGGGAGAAAAGGAAGTCACACTCAGGACAGAAGCATGGTCAGGACATTTGTGGATGTGTGTAGAGTGGCACTGGTCCATATCTTTCTCCCAGGAAGTCAGTGGCAGAAAAGGGCAGCTCACATGGAGAAATTTTCATTCAGCAAATAGTTGTCAAGTATTTAAGTGACAAGCACTTCCTTCATATTTAGATGTATGTATTTATATTTTAAGCTTGAAATGCAGTGTGTTAAAAGTCCAGGTTCATTGTCTGTTGACTACCTTCTCAGCTCAGTGCCTTGCCTGAGAGAGACACTTCAGGGTTGAGGGTTCAGGGAGAAGGGGGCTGTTTTCTGAGGGCCTGCCCTGCCCTTTCCTTGCTGTGAATCTTCACAACAGCCGTGTGAGGTGGGCACATTGATTACCCACTGTTTTTCTCTGCGACCCAGGGTGGGTATTTGACTTCCCCAAGGTACTAAGCAGCAATATGGCTGTTGAAACTTTTCCAGTCTTAAACTGACTCCTGAAACTGTTCATGACCACCATCCTTGGCTCCATATTAGAAAAAAAGACCCACTCAAAGCAGATCAGTAGGAAAACTTAGAGATATAGAAACTTATTATACAGTGAAGCACATATACTCCAAGGAACCTCTGTCCACATGGACCATCCTCTTTTCATTAGAAATAAGTATAGTAACATGAAAGTAATAAGCTTTTAATTCATCCCAGCTGATATGGCAAGAGGAAGAGGCTTTGGGCACAGTGTGGGGCCCACATGTCCATCCCAGGAGCCACCCTGGTCTGGCACACTGTTCTAAGCTGAAAGTCATCTGAGGACCTGGTGCTTGGGCAGAGGGCAGGGTCATTCTCCACACATCCTCCTGGCAGTTTGTTCTTTGACCTCAGGGGCTAATCACACAGGCGACAACCTGTGCAAGACCTCTGCTTCCCCTCCACCCAGGGCTCTCTAGTGTTTTGTTTTGTTGCTGGGTGGAATCCTTGTACAAAGCTGGAGTATATATTCTGTGGTTAGTATGGAGTGTCTCTAGTAGGAAGCGGGATCAGCAGCTGGACTGCCCTGTCTTTGTCAGCAGGCATGTTGGCTTGTCAGCTTTGACACAGAAGTGGTTTGGGGCTCTTTAAAGAGAGACAGAAAAAATAAATAAATAAATAAATAAATAAATAAATAAATAAACAAACAAACAAACTTTTAGAAAACTGAGTATACTTTCTGTTAATTTATATATGATAAGGTCAATGATTTAAAGGAGGAAAAAAATCTCTTTAATGATACATCCTTCTGGGCCCATGTCCTGGACAGACTGAGCACTGTATGTGGAAAATAGAGGAAGAAATCAGAAACAAGTCTAGGCAATGCAATTGCTTTTCTTTGGCCCAGATTGGTATTATTTCTGTTGGGTAAATGGTGAGATCAGGGCCTCAACTTCTTCCATATTGCTCTTTAACTCATTCCTTTTCCTTGAGTTTTCCATGAAGAGTGGTGATTTTAAGATACCAGTGCACCTGCCCCAGTTTGAGAGCCCTCAGGGCATGTCATGGCGGCCCCTGTGATCTTTCTGCTGCTGTAGCGGACACTGCACATAAACCTGGTCAAGTGGAAGTTTTCCAAGGTTCCTGGTTTCCATTTGGGGTTATTAGCACTGAGCAGACTTATCTTCCTGCCTTTATAGCATAATGGCCTGCAGATGTCTGTGGATATTTTAAGCTTGCATCGCCACCCCCAAGTAGACCACCCCTTTTCCTGCCCCAGTCCCAGCCACTGCATACCTTAGAAATGCAAACCCAGGGCAAGTTGTTACTAGTGTAAGCATGGCTTGTAAGAAGTACACAGACACAGGTGTTTGTTTAGATAGAGCCATGTGGTGTGTGAGGCTTTGCTTGGGAGTAAAAAGCATTTCTTCAGTGTTACCTACAGTTTTCTGATCTATACTTTGATGCACACACATTTCCTGTTGGATGATGTAACTGAAGATGGCAAGAGGGGCTCTCAGGTCATTTCCAAGAAGGTTATTTGAAGTGATCAGCAGGATGCAGGGACATCTCAGTGTCCATGTGCAGACCCTATGCAAACTCCTTCTGCCCACATCGTGAGGTCTCTATAGGATGGCTCAGTAAAGAAAAGCATAAGGAAATAAAGGGAAAATGGTCCCGATATCTGTAAATCTGGTTCTGTTGTGGGTTTTGCTTTAAGACATGAAAACAAAGCATGTCTCCTGCTATTCACAATGAGAGCACTGAGAGGTGAGCCTTCCCGGGGAAACTGGGATAGAGACAGGGAGAAGCCAGTCAGATGGCAGAAGCTAACACTTTCCTGATTCAGGAAGTCTGGTGTCTTTGTGAGTATCTGAGGCACACAAATGTTGATACATGTAGCTCTGCATGATGAGTGCTGACTGTGCAAGTACTGTCGAACCAATGCTGCCTGTGTTGATACGTGATGGGCTTTGTGATGCCATGGCAGTGGAGTTGTGAACTTTGAACTTTGGTAGAGGGCAGCTTCAGCTGAGTCTTAAGAATTTCCTATAGCTTATGGAAGGTTAGGACTACAGAGTTCTGAGTTTATTAGATAAAATTGTTTAATCCTGGTTGGGGAGTTTGGGAGTCTGTAGATTTCCTGGTTGGTTGACTAAGGGGCATTTTCTGCATGGTCATAATTCTAGTTGGACCTGTCCGTGTAGAGCAAAACTGTTGTGTATCTTGGGACAGGAGTATGTGTTTGGTACCTGTTTGGATACAGAGATATGAAGTAACTATGCTCCTATAATTTTAGCTAGCTATAGTTGCTTCAAAACAAAACAAAATCTATTAGAAATGAAAGTTAAACTTTATCCATGTTAAAGTTCAGCATGTTTAAAAAAAAGTCACACTAATCTGGGAAGATTTATTTGTTAGCAGTGAACTTAGCAAAATTTTAAAATGATGAAGTTTTGCTAAAGCAAATAATAAAGGAGTGTGTGGTCTTCAACTGCCTACTAAAGGCCTCTTGATCAAATTAGAGTTGCTTTTTTTTTTTCAATGACTTAAGACCAGGTACCCTGGGAAAAACCAGTTATCAGTATCAAGTTCTTATTGGTGATTTTTTTCTGGTGATTCCATGTCCCTATTCTCTGTTTCAGAAATTGTCTGCACAGAAGATAAACCCAGTCCTGCGAATGTTTGGGCAGTCCATATCAGGAGGCATTGATATGGATGGAAATGGGTATCCGGGTAAGCTATTTTTCTTTAAAGGCGCATGAGATAAAAATAGTTACATGAGGGAGACTAATTTCTGGTGTAGTTAACACTTATTTTCTCTATTAAAGATTAGGAAAAAATCACACTATTGGATGGGGTGTTTTGTCTGGTGTTTGATTTTAAGGAATGAATAATGTTGAAGTTCATTTCTGAGTTTTAAAGTGATCTACTTCGATGTGTTTAAGTACCGTGAGATTGAAATTTAACTAATTTTTGTGGCAGCATTTCTCATGAAGAAAATAAAATCATTGTCCATTTAATGTGATATATATTTGACACTTGATGCTGGAAAAATAAAAGGGAGTGGAGGCAGTGAGGAAAAGAAGGGAACTGAACTGTTATATAAATGTACCAGTTTCCAGCAGTGACTGTAATCATTATATACTGCAAATATGTACTACTAAAAGAGTAAAAGAGTATGTATTTTGTTTTATATTTAATCACATTCATATTTAGAGACTTGTTCCTCTTGAGAGGGAAAAGCAGCCACCCCGTTCCTCTTAAAAGTAAATTACAGAGCGATCTGGTTAAGAAGAAAGCCAGATCCTCTTGCTGATAGACAAGCAGGCTGTCTGTGTTTGAATTGGTCTTCATGGTGAATGAATGCACTGTAGAGGTTGAGGCTAATTAAATGAAAATGTGAAATTCCAACCAAGACCCCAGGTGATACCCAGTTTATGACAAGTTGACTAGTTAGTGAAATAGTGGTTCTTTGGATGTTTAAAGATGAGTGAAGTGAGGTGAAGAAGCAAGGGTAAAAATTTGAAAAAACCTAAAACCATCATGAAGTTCGAAAACATTTCCAGGCATATATAGTCGTTTTACTTTTGAAGAAATACTTCTTTCTACCTAAAATCTGTGAAAACTAGTACACCACATTTTGTATTTTCTTAAGAACAGAAGTTTTGCACACCTTTCAGACTTTATAAGTCAGGGAGAATAGAAAAGAAAAGGGTCAGTGCTGAAGCTTTTAGAAGTTTGGGAGTGAAATTCTCCTTGTGTTAGACAGTCTGAGGGTTGAGCATGTTACGTTATATAAAATTCTGCCATGTGCAGTGTCCAACTCACAGTGTTGCTAGTAGGCGGAGAGGCAGGGGATGTTCCCCTGCTTTATGGATGAGAGTGCTGCACATCAGAGCAGGTTAGGGATGATCAGAGCTTGCAGCCATAGGCAGGGACTCACATCTCCTGGTGGCTCAGCTGCTGTTGTATGAATGCATGTGAAGCAGATTTGTTCACATCTCACAGTGCATCTGAGCTTCATTTTTTGTGTTTTTCATAAAAAAATAAGTGACAGATTTGTCGGGTTGATTTAGATTCAAACATGTAATCAGTTAAAAAAGAACAATAAAATTAATAAATACACCTAAGTGCAGAAATGTTAGGAGTACTATAACTCATGGACTTACTGTTGTTTTCCCTTAATGAGGACATGGCGTAAATCTTTTCATTTAGTGACAGATGGATTTAGACTCTGTTGGGCCCCCATGTTTGGTTCTGCCAACTGTTAATAATAAAGTCCCAGGGTTAAGGCGTTTGTGTTGAGGGGAAAGCAAGGCAGGGAGCAGCTATTGGATGAGTGAGTACTTTATTTAGAAATAAACATTATTAAGGAGTGAGGGTGTACTTCAATGGTAGGACACTTGTCTTAGCATGTAAGAGGCCCTGAGTTTGATTTAGCACACCATAAAAACAAAACAAAAACCTAACAGCAAACATTATTAACTCAACCTGTGTCTTAGTTTACCAAGTATTGCTTAGATTATCAAGTATTTTTGTATATTTTATTGTTTAAATTTCTGATTTGATATATTTAATGAATGTTTAAATATTTCATGTTTAATGATTAGTAAATGTTACACTTAATGAATATTTTCTGATTTAAAATAATATTGGTATCTTTGGACGATCTTGGGGATTATGATCCCTACATTACAGGCAAAGGTGTAGAAAAAACCTGGTGTTTCATAGAGCAAGGTTAGGAGGTGAGGATTCCCATGCTTGACAGACCCTAGCTTAGTGATGGTGAAACTTTTAGGGCTTTCAGTAACACAAACTGCCCTAGACCATTTTCCAAGAGTTATTTAATTCTGGATCTATTTATTGCACAGATGTCAAAGAAAGGAAAAATAGAAATGAAGAAAGCAAGCTATATGTGCAAATTGAGATATGCTAATAACCAAATACAGGTAAAATACCTGAATTTGATTTCAATAATATTTAACCCAATATAGCTAACATTATCATTTTAATATATAATCAAGATAAAAGTTATTAATTAGTTATTGGTTTTTAAAAGTTAGTTCTTTGAAATATAGTATATTTCTGCAATCTACCTCAATTCAGACTAGCCTTACTCCAAGGCTTGAATAGCCACATGTTTTAGGCTACCATATGGAACAACGTGGTTTTAATTCTTACAAAATCATGGCGCTGTCCAAACTCTGGCAGTTCCCTGTCCTCAGGTTGGGCCTCAGCTGCTGCAGAGCACCATGCTGGGGATAACTGTTGTTGGTGGGCTTCAGTAAGTATCTAAATGCTGTGACTTATTTTTTTCAGATGTTACCATTGGTGCTTTCATGTCTGACAGCGTGGTTCTTCTGAGGTGAGATGCCTTACTCTTCCTCTTCATGGGTGATAGATGGAAGTCAGCAGGGGAGACCTGGAACAATAACTTAGCACCGCTTGTCTCTTCCCTCTGTCTTGCTCCTTGCAGGCTGGAGGTGCTTTCCAAATGGAAATGCTGCCTTTATTTTTCTCATATTATCCTTTATCCCAGACTTTCCACCTGGGGAAGCCTTGAACAGCTTACTGGTGGAAGCTGATAACTTCCGTGTTGCATAAAGTGCAGTAGAAATACTGTTGTTTCTTTGGGGACTTTGACACTCAAAGGAGTGGGAAGCTTTGCATATCTTCACTTTTGGTTTCTACCCCTGTACCCTTTCTCACCCAGTCCTCAACCCCCAGGAACTGGGAGCCCCCTGCCCATCACATGCTCTTCATTGCCTGGTAAGCAGAGAGGAGGGGTGTGAACTCCATGCAGTGCTCCTGGGAGCCATGCAATCTAGATTTGTCCATTAGAGGCCAGTGGGCTGCCATCACCACCCACGATTCTTCTCCAAGTGTTTCTGTCTGTGTGAGTCAGAGGAAGCAAAATTACACTTTGGAGCGGGAGCCAAGTCTTGGGTTTTGTTAATAACCTCGTGGCAGAATGTTCTAAAATAGACTAGTAGGATCTTAGAGCTGGAAGAGATCCCAGAGGCCATGTGGTTTCCCCGCCCCAGATTCTTCTCAGATGGCCCTGCTGGCTGGAGTCTCCCGAAGAGGGATACATAGCCTCTTCTTAAATGAGGTACCTGGCAGTAGGGGCTTTCATTTTACGGAAACAGCGGACCCCCACGTGACTAATCATTGAATTTCTTTTTTAATTTTTACTTTTTATTAGTTCATGTTTGCAGCACGTATTGACTACATACATTACTTTTGGAGAGTTGGTACATGTACATAGCACATCTTAATTCCTTTTTCAGCCCCTCTCTCCTACCATCTCTTGGTCACCCTCCCATTTACAAAAGATCTATCTCCCTATTTCCTATTTTATACCTTTTGTTTTGCTCTTTATTTATATTTTGGAGTTTTCATGTAAGATAAATAATATGATATTTAAATTTGTATGTCTGATTTATTTCACTTAACTTATGGTCTCAAGGTACATCCGTTTTCCACAGATGATCTAGTTTATCTTCTTTATGGCAGAGTGGTACTCCATTGTACATAAATACTGTTTTCTTTATCCATTCACCTACTGATGGACACATGTACTATTTCCAAGATTTAGCTATTGTGAATTGTGCTGCTGTAAACTTGGGAATGCATATCACTGTTATATGAAGCCTTTCATTATTTTGAGATGATACCTAAAAGGAAATAAATGAATCAAATAGAACTTTTAGACTTTAGTTTTTTAAACAATATTTGTACTGGTTTCCATAGTGGTTGTACTAATTTACATTACCACCAACAATATAGAAGGGTTCCTTTTTAGGCACAGCTCCAGCAGGATTTTTTTGTACAATTTTATTTCTTGTCAACAGCCATTCCTTCTGGAGTAAGGTTGAATTTCAATGTTGTCTTAATTTGCATTTCTCTAGTGACCAGAGATGTTGAACATTTCTTCAGGTATTTATTGGCCATTTGTGCTACTCCTTGATTCATTTCAGTAGCCTGTTTTTTGATGAGGTCTTTTATTTTGGGAAGTCTAATTTTTTCCAGTTCTTTGCGTATTCTAAATCTTAGTCCTATGTCTGAGATATAGGTGGCAAGTTTTTTTTTCCCATTTTATACTTTGACTCTTCATTCTGTTACAGGTTACTTCCTTCACTGTGTAGTAGCTTGTTAATTTGCTGTGATCCCATTTGATGATTCTTTTTTTTTTTTTTTGAGACGAGGTCTCGCTATGCAGTTCAGGTTGGCCTTGAGCTCACTTTGTAGCCCAGGCTGGTCTTGAACTCGCAACAATCCTCCCACCTCAGCCTCCCGAGTGCTGTATTACAGGCATGAGCCACCACACCTGCCTCCATTTGATGATTCTTGATGTTATTTCTTATGCATTTGAGGTTCTGTTTAGGAAACCATCCCTAAGCCTGTGTTTCCAACTTTTACCTATTTTATTTTCCAGCAGATTAAATGTTTTTGTTTTAACATTGAGATCTTCATTGCATGTTGATTTTAGTTTAGTCTATGGTGAGACATATGCGTGGATAGTGAGTTTTCCTAGCGCCATTTATTAAAGAGGTTATCTGTCCTCTAGTGTATGTTTTTGGCCTGCTTGTCAGACAGCTAAATGTGCCTGGGGTTGTTTCTGCATATTCTGTTCTGTTCCGCTGATCTGCATGTCTGTTTCTGTGCCAGTATCATGTTATCTTTGTCACTGTGACTTTGTAATATAACTTGAAATCCATGATTATGATGCCTTCTGCTTTGCTTTTGTTACCCAGGATTGCTTTTGCTATTCTGGTTCTCTTCTGGTTCCACAGGAATTTTGGGATTTTCACTCTAGTTCTGTGAGTTATTCTGATTGCAAGTGCATTAAATCTGTGTGTCAGTCTTGTATCACCATTTTTACTATGCTGGTTCTGCCTCTCCATGAACAGAGAATATCTTTCTATTTGCTGGTATCTTCTTTGATCTCCTTTTTTAGAGCACTGTAGAGGTTGTTCAGTTGGACTCTTAACTATTGAATTGGACTCAGGCTATTGAATTATTAAAGAAGCAGGATATCTCTGTGGTTGAGCTTGGCTTGGACTCACACTTTGCCTCTGTCTTTACAAAGTGAACTTCCCAGGGAAAGTTCCTGACTTCTCTGTTCCAGGGTACTCCCTGGTGAAACAGGATAACAATAGTACTTACCAGAACTGATTATTTAGTGCATGTTAAATGCTTGGCTGATTTAGTACATGTTATGTTTAGTACATGTTAGCTGCATGTTAAATGCTGGTATAATAAGTGCTTAGTAAGCACTTGCAAATCTTAGGTAAATTGGGTTATTTACTTTGCTAAAATTCAGCTTTCATGTCTTGTATCTTCTGCACAGATGCCCTTCTGTATCTGAAGTTGACAGTTGTGTCCCCTGACAATAATAACTTGACTAGGATTTAACTTCCCTGCTTCACTTAAGTATACCCCCATGATGACTAGATTTTCACTTTCTTTAGCACTGTTTTTTCTTCAGTAGGTAACTTTCATGGCTCAAAATGATGGAGGTTCGACTTCTGACGTGGGTCACTCTAAGTGATGCTTTTGTATGTTTGCACTTTCTTTATATCCTGAGCAGGGCATGTGGGTTTGTAAGGACTGTGCTCAAATAAAACACATCCTTGTCTTTCCAAGTTGAATACAGGCCCTCTTTTCAACACTAAGACATCTGGTTTAAGATCTTTCATGTAGATTCTGCCTTGTCACCATTGTATTTCATCATCTTTCACCTGTGCATGCCACCTCAAAGTGCTTTTTCTTTTTCTCACTTTCATGGGTAATCTCTCCTGCATGGAGACGGTAAAGTGAGACAGTTGTGCAGTGGACTGGAGACTGTGGTCTCCAGCCTTGTGTGAAGGGTTGAATCTGGTAAGGTGGAATTTAGCAGGGACAAGTGTAAAGTTCTTTGAGGAGAAAGCCAGGGAAAACATTAATGGAGAGAAGAGGTCTAGGACAGGAGCTGAGGAGTCTTACCTGGACAACAAGGCCAAGAGAAGCCCCAGGAAAAACCTGAAGCCATGCCACTTGGAGGAATGTGTGGGGATGGTGTGATCACGGAAGTCCATTCTCTCATTTACTCAGCTAACGTATCCTGACCTGTCAAAATGCAACTTATGTACATGTTAGGTCATGGGGATTTGCAAGAGAACCTGGGGGACCTAGAGCTTGACCTAATATTCTAACCAAGGAGCCATACACAAGTAGCCAATTATGCAACTGGTGTTTGGTGAACACTTACTGTATGCCAGGCACTGTTAAAGTGTTTTACATACAGTCATGGTCTGTTCCAGGAGGGCAAGAGACCAGGGAGAGCAGAGGAGGTTTCAGAGTATCACTTAACCACAGAGAAATGCTTCATTGATTTTGTCATTATATGAACATTATAGTAGTGTATACCTAAACTAAGACAGCTGCATTGTCATTAGGTGATACCATTATAGGAGACCACAATGGTACAAGTGCTCTACCTTTGATGGAAATGTCATAGGCAGTTCACGATATTCTTTCTTGTTATTTTTCTGTATGGAGGCATAATTTGCATAATATCAAATGTACCAGTTTTAGTGTATGACTCAATGAATTTTGTTCAGTGTAGCCTCTTGTGTGACTAATACTTCATTAAGATAAAGAACACTTTTATTACCTCTGAAAGTTTCCTCATGCTCTTTCTGGTCACCCCCACCCTGCACACACAGATAGGCGTTGTTGTGATTTCTGTGAACGTAGTTCACTAGGACGTCACAGAAATGGAATTATATTGTAAACAATGTTTCTGGCTTCTTTCAAAATCACGCCTTTGAGATTCATCCATGTTTTTGTTTTATTCTGAATATGTTATGATTTGTTCATCCTTTCTGTTGCTCACAGAATGTGTATTAACCCTTAGTCTCCATAATGACTCTGTGACTTAGATATTATTAGCCCTATATTATGGATGAGGAGACCACAGATATGCAGTTTTTATTAACTTAGGAATAAGAGATAATTCCGGGTGATGCTGTGAGAGCAAACAAAACAGGGTCACATGGTCAGGACACGGGTGTCCAGTTCAGCAGGAAGGGCTCAGTGAACCCGAGTCCTGTCAGAGGTGGCAGTAAGAGATCAATTGTGCCTTTGATTCTAGAGAAATGACTGAGCAGAAGCCAGATGACTTCCCTCACCAGGTGGGTGAGGGAAGAAGCAGACAAACAGTGAATCTTTACTGTTATTCCAGAAGCTAGTCTCCTAGGTAGCATTTACAATTGGCAGGTGTTTCAAGGCTAGGAGGCTCTGCACCAGGGATTAGGCCAAGAATGTCTTTGAGACTTCCTGTTGTCACCCGAGTCTCTGACCCTCTTGGAAAGGATCAGA